TCTCGGCTTGCCTCTCATGCTAGAGATAAATGCCATCGATGCGTCCTGAAAACAACCATACAGTCGCGGTCCCTCTATAGGGCGCGTATGTGCCAGGCGATTCTAACCACACTGTAGTGGGAGCACCCCCAATAGTGCGGGTATGCGCACTATTCGCGATACTACTAGGATAAAGGGTAGGACATAGGCCATAACGACGGTTATGAAGGTGCCACTGTAGTACATACAACCAACAAAGGGGCTGAATAGGTATCAGTGCCGCCTCAGGAAAAGAAACCCGAGTTTGCTCAATGGTATTAGGAGAACACGTGGGTCGTGGTGCAAATTCAGCAGTGAAGCAGCGGTGTAAACAAAATCCTGTACAGCCGAGAGGATATTTGGTCCACGACATGTTGTAAATGTTAATGTTCGGTGTCCCATTGTTTTATAGTGCATCGACGGCTCCGTGGACGTTGAAAAACAATCACAAGGAACCACCGTATGATGAAAGCCACAGGAGATTATCCAACAAGCATTCCAAAGCGAACAAGTGAGTCCACGTGCATAAAGGAACACAACAAAAGCCGACACCCGCGGAGAAAAGACAGGGGAGAAGACGTTGATCAATGAGAGAACAGGCGCATACTCGCACAGGCGCAATAATCCCGACACACAGTAATTCATGCAACACATACGTGCAGCAAAATATCTCTCATTGATCTACGCGTCAAAATACGCCCGGACGTCAGTCTGACGAGATGGCTTAGATGCATGCGCTTCGATCATCAACATCCGCGCCCTCTTGAGCAAGAAGCTGGCCTCGTCCAAACCACACCCTGCCGCGTAGTTTTCTAGGGACGCGAAGTGTTGGGAAAGTTCCGTGTAAGGCGGTGGCTCCGCACGCCCGCCTCCGATGTTTCCGCCCTCGTCATCCTCCTCCTCTTCCTCCTCCTCTTCCTCCTCGTCATCCCCATGAAGGTTCTGAAAAAAAAACAGAGAAAGCGTTCACTCAATTAGACTTGAATATAGACTCGACAAGAAAAGCACAGAGAGAGCACTCATCATCCGGAAAATGACATGACAACAAGAAGAAAGAACCACGTACCTCCGGAAAATCCCCTGGGCGATTGGACTTCCGGCTTCCTTTGGCCAAAGCGGCATCTCTCTCAAGAGCTTCCCTGTTCTTCTTGATGCTCTGGATCGTCCGCACACCGCAACTAAACTTGTCGGCGACCGCCTCTTGAGTGCTTTTGTTGTCCAGGTCTGAAAGAACCTCCATCTTTTGGTCCAGACTCAACCTCGTGCGCGGCGCACTTCGGTCCGCCTTTTTGCCTCCCACGGCTTTCATGCGTTTTGGGATGCGGCTCGCTTCTTGCGGCTTCCGCTTGCCCGTGGCAGCCGTAGCGGCTTGTTGAGAAGACAAGCACGTATGACAGATGCGATTCATTTCGCTTTCGCCTTCTTCCTCCACCTCGCCGCATATGCCGTGCAGTCTGCCTCCGCATCCTCCTCGGCATTGGTGACCATCGGGGGCTTTAGGTGTGAGGGTGCTGAGATGGCAGAGTTCGCCTGCTGCACATGGCATCGTGCGCCTCTGCTGCTGCTGTTCTCGTGGCCAGTAGGGGTACAGTATACAGTATCCCGCTAGGGCTAGGTTTGTGTACGTTGTGCGGAACTTGTCGACGGGTTTGACCGCGCATTTAGGCTGTCATGACGTCAGACCCGCACTATAGAGGTTTCTGAGATCGACCAAACCCGCACTATACCGGGGTTCCTCTTATAGTGCAGCACCCGCACTATAGAGGGGTCTAAGTTGTGCCAAGCGATTTCACCCGCATTATACCGGGCACCCGCACTATATAACCCGCACTATAGAGGGACCTCGACTGTAATAAGAAACCGTTTGAACCCCCACCCCGATCCGCACCCCTCCCCCGCGTGCGTTCTTTCGCATCCTTACGGGAATTGATATTTGGTCGGCTCAAGGGCACACACCTTCCTTATCTCACACCCACTCGAGTTCGCACCCCCACCCCCTCTCCAACCTGCCTGATAGACCGACAGGTGGACGCCAACTAAATACTAAATACCTGCCCCTCCCACGAGAGGCACCCTACTTTCATCGAGCCCCCACAGAAGGCACTCTCTGTGTTACTACGCAGAAGAGCTACTGTACACCTTGCCCCCACAATATACCGCCACCCTGTTAGAAACTCGTGGACAATATGCACCCTTCTGTGAAACCCCGGCACGGTAGGTAGTTAGTACAAGCCTTGAGAAAACACTACAAGCAGTAATAACAAATAAATGGTACATGGCGAGGCACGTCTTCACGGGAGAGGGGAGTGAGTGTGCAGTCCAAGCCGACAGAGAGGGGGTGGGGAGGGGGGGGGGGGGG